AGGAATTACTAGAGCTTCTTCAGCCACTCTTTTGGGGAGTCTAAGAAAAACAAGTTTTTCAAGATGTTCAGTTGCCTCTTCTGGGGGAGGTTTTACTAAATGTTTCCCTTTTCTTTGGATTTCTACCTTTTCTAGGATTTTAGCCTTAGTAATTCTTTTCTTAAAATGCTTATTTATCCATTTTGAGAAAGAAAGAGTGCATGTGCACAAGCATAAGCAGGGGAAGGGCAAAGACAGAGGAGAGAGAATCTCAAGCACAGAGCCTGACATGGGGCTCAATCCTACAAACCATGAGATCATGACCTGAGCTAAAATCCAGTTGAGCACTCAACCAACTGAGCCACTCAGGTGCCCCAGCCTAAGTAATTCTTTATCTGTCATTTAACTCTCTGGTGCCTTCAAGATTTTTAAATATTTTGTAACCAACTTTTCCAATTGTTATCCATGGAATGTTGGTCTGGATCATCTAACTTGTCACTACTAGAAGCCCCCAATACTTACTCCTGCGTACTTTTCCTTAATCTTACTTCCTTTTCTCTCTTACCTGGAATTTAATGTTTGGTATGGTTTTATTATATACGTATTTCATAAGAACAAGTTACATTTTGCATATTATAAAAAATTACTAAATGTCATACTGTTATTCAGTACTATTTTTGAGGTTGACACATTTAGTATTAGTTCATTAATTTTAATTGTTATGTATCTATATTACTATTAAAATCTACCTACCAAATAAATTGTGGTATACTCTAATATACTGTTGTGTTTAAGTGTATTTCAGTTATTAATTATTAAAATCAATAGAAAAAAATAAATATTCTTAAAAATGACTGCTTGTGTACATCTGATATTTTCTCTGGGGTATATACCAAGAAGTAAATTCTTGAATAGTATATGAACATCTTCAACGTTACTGTCCGAATATTCACTAAAGTAAAAGCGACTGCATCTGTCAACACTTTTAAATTATTTCATTATTTTTTATTTTAACAAGTGTGACTTATACAGAACTGTGGCTTACTTGTCATTTCCCTAATCATGAATAGCACTGCATATCTTTTGTTAAGTGCATCAGCTAATGGATTTTCATTTCTATAAAATGCCCATATTTTAGTTGGGTTGTTTTCTTATTTTTTTCCCCCCTTAATTCTGTATTATAACATTTTATCAGGTACATGTATTACAAATAGATTCTCCCATGCTGTGGCTTTATCTTTCTATTTTATGTATGGTATCATTTGCTGCACACCAATGACTGCAAATTTCAATAGTCAAATCTGATTCTATTTTTCTGTTATTCATTTTGAATCTTAATCTTGCTAAAGAAATTTTTACCCGCTCAAAAGTTCATGAAGATGGTCTCCTCAATTTTCTCCTAAAAGATTAGCTTAATTTCTTACTTAGATTTGCATTATTCCCATGACTATCAGATTTTTATATTTACTATGTAGTAGGAACAAATGGCCCTATTCTCACTGCCACCTTTTATTTCAGGTCTTCAGTATCTCAAAAGTACATCAGCTATGGGACTGAAGTCAGCAGTCATTACTCTTAAGAAAGAAGAAAGGGTACAGTTCTATTTATTGACCAGGGTAGTAGGTATGTATTCTCACTGTGCTGAAATACACTGAGCTGCACGCTAATAGTCTGTAAACTCTTCTATGTGCATGTTGTAATGGTGTGCTAAAGCTAGCTCATGCTGGGTCATGAGTGTCAACTATTTAGCAGAAATTTTGTGAGTTAACTGTCAAACTGTCACTGGCTTAAAATCAGCCATTAAGAAATTATATCATTAATTTTGACAAAAGTAACAAATGAGTAATTTTTCTTTTCCCAAACAGCATATGTGTCGGTAATATTTCTTTTCTATTTCTTAAAAAATTTTATTGTTGTTTTTAAATATTTTTTAAAATGTATTTACTTTAGAAAGAGAGAAAGGCAGAGGGTGAGCAGAGGAGGGGAAGAGAGAGAGGGAGACACAGAATCTGAAGCAGGCTCCAGGCTCTGAGCTGTCAGCACAGAGCTTGATGTAGGGCTTGAACTCACAAGCTGAGATCATGACCTGGGCAGCAGTTAGACGCCCAACTGACTGAACCACCCAGATGCCCCACCCCCCAATATTTTTTTCTAGAGAGACAGACAGACAGCACGAGCAGGAGAGGGACAGAGAGAGAGAGAGAGAGAGAGAGAGAGAGAGAGAGAAATAGAGGGAGATACAGAAACCAAAGCAGGCTCCAGGCTCTGATGTGAGGCTCAAGCTCACAAACAGTGAGATTATAACCTGAGCTGAAGTAGGACGCTTAACCGACTGAGCCACCCAAGAGCCCCTGTCTGATTTAGTCGGTTAAACATTCAATTCTTGAGTTCAGTTCAGGTCATGATCTTATGGTTTGTGAGTTCAAGCCCCACATCTGGCTCTCTCTCTGTGTCAGTGCAGAGTATACTTTGGTATATAACTCTGGTGGAATTTATGCTAAAAAAGCAAAAGCTTCAGCATGTAATGGCAAATATACTTTGGTGTTTATTGCAGCACAACTTGTGGGTGCAAGAAAATCCCCAAAAACCAAATAACTAGAAACAACATGGGGGGAAAAAAGGAGAAAGAGAGAGAAAAAGGCTGGAAAACTTATGGTGTATATATATTTTGGAATACTATGCAACTACTAAAAAAGTATGAGTAAAATCTATCATACTGGCCTAGCGGTATGCCCAAAATATATTCAGTGAGGAAAAAAAAAATGTACAAAATACATATATGGTACAATTTAATCAAACCCCAAAGTATTTCTTTATACATAAGTATATGTTTTTATGTAATTTTACAAATATAAATAAAACTGGAAATACTCATCCATACCATTCCCACTGATTGTCCTGGGAATGGAGGTGTAACTGTTAGGGGCTGCAAGAAAGAGCAGTAACTTTTTCGATGAATACGTCTATGTTGCTGGACTTATTTCAAAAGGTTATTTTTTAATTTAAAATAATCTAGTAAAGTTTAATCAATCTTATTTTTAAAAGGGTGAATCATAACAAAAATTATAGAAGTGGTTGGCTTATCTGTAATTTCTTCCTATTTTATTCTAACTTCTTTTATTGCCAAGCTTTTTCAAAGGTCATTTTCATCAAGGATACTCTTGTATTAAAAATTTATTCACGATCCTTCACTGCCTATAGGAGTAAATCTGAAATTAGTAAAGAGCACTAAAGTATGAGCCAGGAGATGTGGGATCTAGTTTTAGTTCTAATGAGTGAACCCACGTTGTCACGGCGGCCACAAGGAAAATGAGAGACACCTACAGTAAGGCACGCATTCGAAGGCACTATGAGAAGTGTGGCTGCATGATCCGAGGCTAGGATTCTAGCACTGCCACTTCCTAGTTGTGTGATCGTAGTAAGCATGCTATTTATCCTTTTTTAAGCCTCAGTTTCTGATTCAGTAAAGTGGGGCTACTAATACTGATCTTTCAGGGTTATAAGAACCATTAAAAATAATATATATAAAGCATCTACCCATAATGCAACCTAGTAGCTACCAACAGATGGTTTCTGTTATTATGAATCTTCCTCATTCTATAGCCAGCATTTCAGGACCTTTGCAAACACCAATATATTTTTGAATTATTTAGGAATTACTACAGGTGAAATACTGAGCTAGGAACTTTATATACACCATCTAATTACATTTTTTATTAAATTCATATTTTATTATTAAATATTATCATAATAGCCTCAGATTGTGTGACTTAACCTTATTTTATGGATTAAAAACTGAGGCTAAGGTTGTGTAATTTTATAAAGTTATAAAGTCTGTAACACTTCACTATAGTTTATTAAAGCATTTTCAATTTGCAGAGTAGGAACTTAAATTTAAAATATGAAGTCAGAACCATGAGACTCAAAGCCCATGTCTGGGACAGCTGTGCCATGTGCTGCCTCAGATGTGAGCTCTTCTGGATCTATCCTTGCCCCCTTCCCTGCCTCAGGCCCAACTTGAACTCTACCTGTTTCATAAAAGTCTGTCACTCTACCACCAACACAGTCTTTTCGTTTTTGTCCTACTTAAGTTTTCAGTCTAGAACATCCATTCAGGCATCAACATATTGCAACATCACAGAGTATGCTGTAAGTGATTTTTTTTCCTGCTAATGCTGTTTTTTTTTCTTTTTTTTGTTTTTGTTTTTGTTTTTTTTCAATATGAAATTTAAATTCCTTAAAGACAGAAGAGGTAACCTTTCCAAGTCATAACAGACGTACCTACCTTTGGTAAAATGATAGAATATATGCATTTTCATAGCAAGGTACAATGACAATGAGTTGTGATAATTAAGAAAACACTCAAATGGTGAAAAGACACGTTTGTGACACAAGTAGTACCTTGGTAACAGTGACAGGCAAAGAAAAGACAGATGGTACATGGTAATTTTCTGATTGCAGAACAGAGGGCAATGAGCACTAACCAGAAGTTCTTTGGTCTCCCATTCTGTCTTGCCCTAGATTTGACAGGCTGTAGATATTAAATGGCTGTGGACAATGTAAAGAGAAAGAAATCTAATAGTTGCTAAGAGATGAAATGATCAGTTTTGAACCTTTTATGACCTCAACTATCCTATCATTTTCACCAAGGCTCAAATTAAATCAACTACACTTTTAAGTTTGGAATTAAATGTGAACACAAGCATTCACATTGTTTCTGTAAGCAGACACACTTATGACAATAATTTCACATTACTAATTTAAACCTTACTCAATATCCATCACAATGGATAAGACCATATCAAGCCTATTTCAGTCTAGTCTCCATATCCCCTCCAGAGGTGAGGATACATTTTAATAAAGCAAGATGTCTTTCATACATTGAGAATATTATATTAAAAAGTGCTAAAAATATATTCTCCCCTTTACGTTGCCCCAATAACACTTCTGGGAAGAATGTGTAGCGAGGGGAGAATATACCTCTTAGAGATTTCTGGTTTTACTCCTTCCTCTCTTCTTACCGTTACTAGACATCGACACATGTTTGCGTAAGCCACAGAGAAGCTGGGCTCATCGATAGCCTTCTCAAAGACCAGGTCTATGACTCCCTTCAGGCGCTCCTCTGTGTCAACAGTAAGTCCTGACACTTGCTTCATCAGTTGGTTGAACATCTGTGGTGTCAATTTATTTAAGATACTTCGAACTTTTCTAAAAAGCTCCTAGAAAGGCCACAAAAAAGAAAAGAATGTTATCTTAACTATGACAGGATGATTCTTTCTATAAGGATTAGTATTTTAAATTCAATGTCCCATATTATTAGCAAGGACTGTGAACTAGTCAAAGAAATAATTAAATCCATCTATTTTAATTATTTAAAAAATTCTAAGTGTTTATTATTTATTTTAGAGAGGAAAGGAAAGACAGAGCATGAGTGGGGAGGAACAGAAAGAGAGGAGACACAGAATCTGAAGCAGGCTCCAGGCTCTGAGCTGTCAGCACAGAGTCAGACACGGGACTCAAACTCACTAATCACGAGATCATGATCTGACCTGAAGTTGTGACACTTAACCTACTGAGCCATTCAGCGCTCCTAAACCCATCTATTTTAACAAATAGCAAACATTATACCACTTCTTTTCACAACAGATGAGAATTTTAAGAATTAGGTATATTCATTATGGCAGTATACTTGGCGTTTGGCAATGTGTATTAAATAAGCTTTAAAACTGTAATTTTTTTTTTTTTTTTTTTTTTTTTTANTATTTCTAGGAGAGAGAGAGACAGCGTGAGCAGGGGAGGGTCAGAGAGAGAGGGATTCACAGACTGAAACAGGCTCCAGGCTCTGAGCTGGCAGTCAGCACAGAGCCCGACACGGGGCTCGAACCCACGAACCGTGAGATCACGACCTAAGCAAAAGTCGGACGCTTAACCGACTAAGCCACCCAGGCGCCCCTGTGATGTATTTTTTGAAGCAGCAATTATACTTTAAGAAATTTACTCATATTTAAGGATAAGTACATAAGATTTCAGCCACAATGACTTCCATTAGTAACCCGTTATAGCAAATAACTTAAATGTCCTAAAATAGGAATCTATCTAAATTAAGTTACAGAATACCAGGCAGAAGTCTTTTATTTTTAAAAATTTTTTTATTAAAAAAATTTTTTTTAACGTTTATTTATTTTTGAGACAGAGACAGACAGAGCCTGAGCTGGGGAGGTGCAGACAGAGAGGGAGACACAGAATCTGAAACAGGCTCCAGGCTCTGAGCTGTCAGCACAGAGCCTGACGTGGGGCTCGAACCCATGGACCACGAGATCATGACCTGAGCTGAAGAAGGCCGCTTAACCGACTGAGTCACCCAAGCGCCCCTAGGCAGAAGTCTTTTAAACTCTCATCAAATTAGGAATACAAGAGAACTTCCACCACTAGAAATAAAGCACCTATAACTCTACTTTATGGTGAAAGAAGGACTATTTTCCTTGTAAGAATGGGAATCAGGCAAAAACGTCCATTCTCACCACCCTATTCAAAGTCATACTGGAGGGGCACCTGGGTGGCTCAGTCAGTTAAGTGTCCGACTTCAGCTCAGGTCATGATCTCATGGTTCGTGGGTTTGAGCCCCACGTTGGGCTCTGTACTGACAGCTAGCTCAGAGCCTGGAGGCTGTCTTCGGATTCTGTAACTACCTCTCTCTCTCTGACCCTCCCCTGCTCACGCTGTGTCTATCTCTCTCTCAAAAATAAATAAAAAACATTAAAAGAAAAACAAAACAAAACAAAAAAACAAAACAAAGTCATACTGGAGGGCCTCATCAGTACACTAACTACAACCCATACAGATCATAAAGGAAGAAATATGACTCTATCTCTATTCATAAATGATAATGATTATCTATGTAGAAAATCATAAGGAATCTAAAATTGATACTAGAATAAGTGTAGCAACAATGTAGAATACATGTCAACATACAAATATCAATTTACTTCTCTATATTAGCAATAAACAACTAGAAAGTACCATTTACCACAGCACCAAAAACCATGAAATACTTAGTTAAAAATCTAACACAATATCCATAGGAGCTGTATAATGAAAACCATAAATCACTGATGAAAGAAATCAAGGATGACCTAAATAAAATGAGAGCTGTGTCATGTTCACGTATTAGAATATCCATTATGGTTAAGTTGTCCATTTTTGCTAAACTGACCTACAGATTTAACACAATCACAATAAAAATCCTAGTAGGGTTTTTGGGGGTATTTCGGGTAGAAATCAAGAAGCTGATTTGACTCTGGGAAAAACAAAAACAGAAACAAAAAACCCAGAGCAGCCTCAATGACTTTGAACTGTAACAAAGCTGGAAAACTCTTACAGCCTTATTTCAAAACTTACTATACAAAGACAGTGTGGTCCTTATCAGAGGACAGACACATAGATAGCTGGAATAGAACCTAAGTCTAGAACTGGATTCACAAATATATGATGAACTGATTTTCAACAAAGGTGCAAAGAAAACTGAATGGACAAAGTATAATTCTTTCAACAAACCGTGCAGGAACACCTGGATAAGGAAAAGAAAGAGAGAGAGAGAGAGAGAGAGAGAGAAGAATACCTTGCTTGCATGAAACACAAAAATTAACTAAAACTGGATCACAGACCAATATTAAAACATAAAACTGTAAACTTCTAAAAGATAACAAAGGAGAAGAGTTTTGTATTCTTGGGTTATGTAAAGATGCAACAGCAAAAGTACAACCTCTGAGTGCAAAAGTTGATACATTCCAACATGATCAACATTAAAAGCTTTGGTTCTACAGGACACTATAAAGAGAATGAACCAACAAACCAGACTGGGAGAAAATTTTTGCAAAAACACATATCCTATAAAAGACTTATATCCAGAATATATGAAGAACACTCAAAAGTCAATGATAAGAAAAATCACCACCCACCAAATCAGAGCAAAAGATATGAACAGAAATTTTACCAGAGAAGATACAAGAATGGCAAATAAGCACAAAAAAAGATGTGCTTATTCAATATATAATTCATTTGGAAATTCAAATTAAAAGAAGGAGATGCTACCACACATCCATCAGAATGGCTAAAATTTATAAAGCAGAAAATAATAAGTGCGATGAAGAAGTAAAATGATTGACTCTCATGCCTTGACAGGAGAAATGCAAACTGTTCCAATAACAACCTTGGAAAACAGTTTGGTGTTTTCTAATACGGCTAAACCTATATTTACCATACAACTCATGGATCCCATAGCTAGGATTTGACCCAGCAATTGCACTACTTGGTATTTATCCAAAGGGTACAGGGGTGCTAATTTGTTTTTTTTGTTTGTTTGTTTTAAATGTTTTTATTTATTTCTAGGAGAGGGAGAGGGGGAGAGAGAGAGAGAGAGAGAGAGAGACAGCGTGAGCAGGGGAGGGTCAGAGAGAGAGGGAGTCACAGACTGAAACAGGCTCCAG